AATTTCGAAAAACGACACCGACCCCGTGACATCGACACCGTCCTTGAAAAATCTATTTTCAATTATTTTCAAATAAATCAAAATACTTTGCTTATATGCTTTTAGAAAATCTTACAAACTATTTTTATGTAACATCTTTTTTCAATTTTAACCCGAAAAAGGGTTATTTTGCAATTTTTTAAGAATTTTTTGATTTTTTCAATTTTTTATTATTATTTTTTATTATTTATTATTGTTTTTTCAATTTTTAGTTAGTAACCTATAATATTGTGTCTAATTTTAAGTGTCATTAAAATCAAATGTTTTTAACATAATAATTTTAACATTTCTTAATTTAAAACGAAACATCTTCTATTATATTAAGTTAACAAATTTCGAAAAACGACACCGACCCCGTGACCTCGACACCGTCCTTGAAAAATCTATTTTCAATTATTTTCCAATAAATCAAAATACTTTGCTTATATGCTTTTAGAACATCTTACAAACTATTTTTATGTAACATCTTTTTTCAATTTTAAGATAAATTTTATACAATATTAATAAGATATTAATTTAAAACATAAATTATATATATAATATACATAAACTACAATAAGTAAACAACAATAAGTTTAATTTTAACCGAGCGAGCGTTAGCGAGCGAGGAATACATCGCTAGTGGCAATTAATACTACAGAACAAGATATCGAAGTAGCTATACTCCCTCAGCAGCTTTACCCGTTTGATTATGTAGACGAAGAAGAGGAAATATTTAGCGGTCAACAAGATAATCAGCAAGAAATTAAAGAGCAAAGGATTAAGGCAATTCTCGATAAAATGAATTTGGAAAGTTTGAATGAAGAAGAATTGGGTTATGTAAAAAATGGATAAATTTAGGTCAAGCTAGATTTTTAGTACCTGGCGATAAACTGCCAGTCACGCCTCTAGTGAAACATTACATTCCACTGTCGGACGATAAGCCAATAAAATGTAGGCAATATAGACAACCTCCTGAATGTAAGGGGGCCGGGGCCAAACTTTTAGCAAAAAGGTACGGAGATGATTTGATCGTAAATTCAAATTTAAGCTACAATTCACCCGTCTTGACAGTACCTAAAAAAGCAGACAAAGAGGGTAATAAAAAATATAGATTAGTAATAGATTTTCGCGCGTTAAACGATAAAATGGAGGGGGACAGTTATCCAATGCCCCTGATTAGTACAATTTTGGAGAGGCTAGGTGGCGCTAAATACTTCTTTGTTTTCGATTTAGCTATGGGGTATCATTAAATAGGTACGGCAGAAGAAAACATACACAAAACAGCGTTTTCATCAGGTAGGGGACACTACCAATACAAAAGAATGCCCATGGGAATCAAAAATGCGGCTCCCACTTTTCAAAGACTAATGGAAAACGTTTTGACGGGTTTACAGGGACCAGAATTGTTTGTTTACTTAGATGACATTATAGTATCCTCTGCCACGTTGGAAGAGCATGATATAACCATTATCCGTTAATTAGAGAAATTAAGAAATGCAAAATTAGCCCTACAGCCGGAAAAATGCGAGTTTCTGCGCAAAGAAGTAGCTTACCTAAGACATTTAGTAGGGGAGGACGGAATAAAGGCGGACCCGAAGAAAATAGAAGTCATAAAGGATTTTCCGGCGCCAAAAAATCAAAAAACGATACGTGAATTTTTAGGCATCACTGGCTATTATCGGAAATTTATAGCCAATTACGCTAAAATCGCTAAACCTTTGTATGAATTGTTAAAAAAAGACAGAATTTTTAAATGGGACTCAGATGAAAAGAAAGGTTTACGGACATTAAAGAAAGCTTTGTGTAAAAATCCGATTTTACAACATCCGGACTTTTCAAAAATTTTTAAAGTTACTACGGACGCATGCGAACATGCTATTAGTGCGGTAATCACACAGGAAAAAGATGGCATGGATTTGCCAGTTGCATTTTTCTCAAGGACTTTAGTGGGAGCAGAAAAAAATTATGATCCAACGGAAAAGGAATGTTTAGCTGTAATTTACGCGTTGGAGAATTTTAGGTCCTATTTATATGGAAGGAAATTCATACTTGCGTGTGATCAGGAGCCATTGCAAATCATAAACAAAGCTAGGAAACCGACTTCACGTATGACAAGGTGGTTGTTGCAATTACAGGATTACCAGTATGATTTCGAATGTAAACCGGGAAAAATAAACCGCTGCTTAAGGGGATTATCGGAAAATCCCAAAGAAGAGAATTCAGATTCACAAGAAGAAGAATCTACAACTAGTATTCAGGAAACTAGCGATAGAGTACTTTCTAGCGACAATTCAAGTGATGAAATAGAAGAAAATTCGGAAACCATTCATGTCCTCCCTATTAGTAGTGCGGCTAATTGTAATAAAAGGCGAGCTAGCGAAGTTTTAAACAATCTACTAGAGAAAAATAAAGCGGGCCCTTCGATGAGCAAAACAAGAAAAGAACAGACAGAAAAAGTAGCGCAAAATAATTTTAGAAATAGGGTTAAATCCGACACAAATATTGATATTGAGCAAGGTACAGTAACAGAAAATAAACCCAAAAGGGGGAGGCCAAAAGGGAAAACTAAAACTAACACCAATACAATTATACAACCTGTTAGGGGTGATGAAACTGCGGTATATCTAAACCCACCAGTAGATACGTCAGAAGAAGAAGGCGAAGAGGAAAAAACTATATGCGAAAGTGTCAGTAATCCATTAATACCGGACAAAGAAATGGTAGATAGTATTAAGGAATCAATCAGACGTTCCGATTTATTAAGGGCCGATCATCAATCGTATTTTTGGGATGACGAATTTGCCGCGGAAAACTGGGAAGAAACAGAAAGAGAAAATCAGGAAGTGGAAAAGGAAAACTGCGAAGAGGAAAATGAAGAAGAAGGCACAAATAAAGGAGCAGAAATAGGTCAAGCGGAATTGAGGTCAATAGACGAGATCATATCAGACTTACAGGAAATTACAAAACAATTAAATCCACCAGTCGAAGGTGTGTTAGAAGATAATGGGCGGGAAAATGAAACCAGAGATTTCGTGAAACATACCATAGGTAGTAAAAAAACAGTCACTTTCGACACTCATATCCAAAAAGCGAGACCGAATGCGCAATCAACACCTTATGTACCTAATACGATTCGGGAAGAATGAAGGTTAGACGAATCTGAAATAGAGCCTAGGCAAAAACGAGTAATTCCCCGAAAAATAATAACGGACAAAGAAAACAAAGGTCCTGATAAAAAAGAGATGAGGTTCAAACTTGGGATAAACATAGCGATGCCTCATATTGATGTTCGAAAACCACCTTTTCAAAATATAACAGGCAATGAAAACGAAACCAAACTAAACAGGTTGGATGTGTTGACTTACGATAGAGGACCATTAACAAACAATAGGGATAATTACGTTCATTTCATGGCGGCTGATGCAGAGCCATCTACACCAAAAATTAAACTGCTGATAGCGACAGGTCGAATAGATTTGCAAAAAATAAAAAGTACCAAACCTAGGGTGGTACAAATCTTGATTACGCAGAAAGGAAAATATAAAACTTTTACAGTAATAATAACTGAAAAATACGATAAAAAAATAGAAGAGAAAGGGTTAGATTGCGCGTTAAACAATCTTAAAGAAATTTTGATCAAAGAAGGAATAAAAAGATTTAGGGTAGCACGTTATGGAGATCTACTAGATGATTGGGGGGAAAAAGGTATGGAAAAATTAGTAAAAACTTTTTGCAATAGTCAGATCGAGATAAAATTATGTTATGGGAAAATAAACATACCTCCAAAGGAAAATAGGGAGAAAATAATATCGGAGTATCACGATAGTTTAATAGCAGGCCACAAGAGGGTAAACAAAACTTATCAACGAATTAGGGAAAAAGTTCACATGGCCGGGATTAAGACAAGATATTACAGAATATATTAGAAAGTGCAGAAGTTGTGTCCAAAGGAAAATAATCCGAACTAAAAATAGGGAACCAATGTTAATAACGGATACACCCTTAAAGGCATTTGACAAAGTGTGTCTAGACACGGTAGGAAAACTACCTACTACATTTGATGGAAACTGTCACGTGCTAACCATGCAGAACCAACTGAGCACATACTGCATATTTGTACCCGTCCTAGATATAAGCGCGACTACAATAGCTCACGCCCTAGCAACTCAATTATTTTCAATTTATGGCGCATCCAAAACTATTTTAACAGATAGGGGCAGGATGTTTACTAGTAATCTAATGAGAAAGCTAGCCAAAATTTTCAAGGTGTCCCAAGTAACTACGACCGCCTATCACCCGCAGGCGAATGGCGCACTAGAAAGAAGTCACGCAGTATTAGCAGAATATATTAGACACTACGCTAAGTCGAACGATGATTGGGGCCGTTTGCTAGCTTTCGCAATGTTAGCCTATAATACGTCAGTCCATAATGCGACTAAATTCACACCCTATGAGGTAGTGTTTGGAAAGAAGGCAAGAATCCGCACGTCGTTTCCTACAGAGGAGAAGTTGGCAACTTATGAATCTTACCTGCAAGAACTAGTTACACGTCTCATCGAAATCAGAAGGTTAGCCGCGAAAAATATAATCAACGCTAAATTAAAATCAAAGGAGGTTTATGACCAGTAAGCTAGACCGCTAGATATAAACGTAGGCGATGTAGTAGATGTGAAAGAAGAAGTCAGAACAGGAAAGTTTGAACCTATTATCATGGACCGTATGAAGTGATTTCAATCACGGAAAACAGTAATTTAATCCTATGCGACACTGAAGGAAAGAGGTTTAGAAAACACAAAGACCAGATCAAGAAGGCGTATTTATGACTAGAAAACGAGGCAGGATTTCTAGAAGATAACGAACGTTATATAAACGTTTTCAACGACGGGGCTTGTAAAGCCAATTTCAAGGAATCAGCAAAGGCAGGAATAGGGGTATGGTTCAATCAACAGCACCCACTTAATGTTAGTGAAAAGGCAAAGATGAAACAGACCAATAATGGAGCAGAAATAGAAGCTATCGTGAAAACAATTAGCATACTAAAGAAAAGAGGGTTACGCAAAGTCAGGATAAACACCGACTCTAAATTTGCGATAGATGGTTACCTGAATTGGTTACCAAAATGGAATAAAAATGGTTGGAAAACCAATAGGAGGAAAACTGTAGTTAGTAAGGAAATATTTAACAAACTAAGCGATAATATAACCGGGATCAAAGTAGAACTAATTTACGAACCAGGGCATAGTGGAATCAAAGGTAACGAAGAAGCCGATAGTTTAGCTAAAATAGCTATAGAATAGACTGACAACCATTATATATACCCAATAGGTTATCAGGAGAAAACGGAATCAGAGCTTATATATATCTGCATATTCAAAATATCTAGCAATTACAGGGGATGAAAGGTATTATTTTTATATAAATGAAGAACAACTTAAAAACTGCAAGCAGATAAACGATAAACACATATGTTATCACATGCACGGAGATTACGATATTTTGTCTGTACCTGGTTGCGAGGCAGAGCTTAGCAGAAATCCAAACAATGAAACCCTAAAAATTTGTGACATCAGGTTTACTAAAAATCAACAACCACTTTGGGAACCACTAATTACAACCGGTAGTTGGTTATACTCGCTTATCCATCCGGAAACACCGTCCGACACGATTTTTCACACACGAAAAAATCAATGATTTTCAGAAAGTAGGACCAAAAAAAAGATACCCGTGTCTCGCCGTTTTGCTAGATCAGGTCATTTTTTGCTTTTAGGGGTAAAAACAACCCTTAAATGAAAGGTGATAGGAAATCATGTACAAATTAATAATTTTTTATCAAACCTGGTATCTCGGGGTTTTCCGGGTCGCTGATTACGAATTTGATGTCAGATTTTCAAAATTAAAAATGGCGGATCCAATATGGCGGTCGAAATTTATAAAAATTCACCAATTCATTTGAAAGTTGTTACTTAGGGGTTTTTGGGGTCGCTGATTACGAATATGATGTCAGATTTTCAAAATTCAAAATGACGGATTCAATATGGCCGTCGAAATTTATAAATATTAATTATTTTTTGTAAAACTTGGTATCTAGGGGTTTTTGGGGTCGCTGAGTACGAATCTGAAGTCAGATTTTTAAAATTCAAAATAGCAGATTCAATATGGCGGTCGAAATTTATAAAAGTTCATCGAATTCACTTGAAACTTGTTACTTGAAGGTTTTTGGGGTCGCTGAGTACGAATCTGATTGTACATTGTTAAAATTCAATATGGCAGACTCAATATGACGGTTGAAATTTATAAAAATTGTTAATTTTTTATAAAACTTGGTATCTAAGGGCTTTCGGCGTCTCTGAGTACGAAAATGATGTGAGATAAGAATAATAAAAACGACAAATCTAATAAAGGTGAAGATCACAAATCTGAAAAATAATTTGGAAAATTTAAATGTTCGGTCAATTTTTTGTTAAAATTTGCAAGCCAACATTTTAAAATTTTTATTTTAAGTGATTTTTAATCTGAAAATTTGTTTATTTATTAACTAAGTGTTACGTCACGAGCTGAACGCGTTTTTAATTGTACTTCTTGTTTAATTTTTTTCGGAAATTAGCTGATTTATCAAGTTGGTAAGACTTGACATTTATTTTTACGTGGGTTGTTTTCACTTTAACAAAACTATGGGTTTTGCGTTACAATAACAAGGCTGATAACTCCCATTTATGATATTTATTGGTTAACAACTTATTTATTACAATGTTTTAATACAATGTTGTATTTACTTACTTTGACAATTATCGCAGTTAATCAATCGTACACAGCTTAGTCGTTATAATTTGTTTATTCAATCAGTTGAGTTTCAATTGAATGAAACTATAAGTTCGTTATATCACTTTGGTAGCAAAACGACTTTTATGCTTTATTATAGTGGTTTTTTAAGCTCATACACTTATTTTGCGTTGTTTTATTGACACTTGAAGCTATAAGGAAAGAAACTTGTTTCTTTAAGTGCAGGAAAAGCAACTCGCAAAATTAATGTAATGTAACTTTATTAGTTAAACCCCTAATATACGACAATTAATTCAATTTTTTTAATATTTCTAAGCGTTAATGTTGCTTTTCTTGCACCTTCAGAAGAAAAGAAACTTGTTTCTAAGTGAAAAACAATTTAACTTGCACCGAAACACGGAAAGAATACAATAACTTTTATAGAATAATTGAAGGGTCGCTCTACGACACACGATGGAAATCTTATCGGAACTTATGACATCTACAATGGTAATTCCTTAGGTTTATATAGCAATTAAAAACCACTAGATTGGGGATGAAATCGGAAAAAGCACGCACTTGAGCCAAAATCTAGAAGTCACGTTTTCTCGCCGATTTCTAGAAAGCACGTACTTCTGCCGATTTCTAGAAAGCACGTACAGAGTATCATGTTTCTCTTGGTGTATGTGTTCTCGATCGTAGAGCAAGACCAATGATGATTCTTTTTAATAATCATTGATCCCATCACGATCGTCATTGTTTAATAAAAGTTACAACCCCTTTGTGATATAAACTAATCTACATTTATGTATAAAATTGATTATATATCTATCAGGCCTGATATAAATACACACATATACATATACGCATACATATATATATATATATATATACATATATATACATATACGTACACATTGTTTATTGGTGTACAATCATTTACCCTATTGTTTTTAAATTTGAACTTTTTATATTACCGACCATAGTTTTAACTAATTGCAGTAACCGGTTATTTATCATACGCGTAGATAATACACCGACTACTGTTTAATTATCCATGTAAGTTAGTTCTCGTTCAATATAATAATCAATTGTTTACTAATTTTTATTGCTGTATCTTTATAATATATAACTACAATTGATTATTATATAAAATATTAGACAATCAATGGAGGATGACACTTTTTTCAATTTGATATCATCTTCAGAGTCTGTTGGTGAGTAGTATTCTTTATGTATTGTGCTTGAGATGTTCGAAGGATGGAAGTCGCAAGTGAAAGTCCTAGTGATAGTGAAATTGAACGTGAATCAATTCCAGAAGATTTTGATTATTTTGTGAACAATTTTGATTTGTCTTTAATTGATAATTCTTCGGTTAACTCGGGTGCCTTCAACATTGCGCCTAATACGAACGCTTTTTCTATAAAATTTGACGGATTAAGTGGTAGATTACGCCGGGTTGAAGAACGTTTAGGGTTTTTTTTTGGAAAGTAAAAATGGATAGTGCGGTGAATACGATTGTATCTATATGCCGTAATCGTTTTAATTGGAGTGTAACTGAAGTAGATTTTGTAGTAGTGCAACCCTTAGAATGTAAACGTGCCGGTGCGTTGTTAAGTGTTTCATCAATTTCCTTAAGAAATAATATTTTAAGCAATAAACTTCTTTTCTTGCGTGAAGGATTTCATGTAGCTGAGGAATGATTGTAATTAATTCTAGCGTAATTAATTTATAATCTTCCTTAAGAATTATATATTTCCTTACTTTAATTTACAGGTGATCGTCCTACATTCAATCCGCCTCTTCCGGACCTTTATAATTTTTTGGAGAAGATTTTAAAATTAACGTTGTCCATTCTTCTAGACCTTAGACTGAGTGAGGGTATTGAGGCAAAAATGATGGAAGAAAAAGAAACAAAAGGAAAAAGGCGTCGCCCTCGGAAAGGTGCAGTTTTCACTCCAATTGCAGAGTTGAGGAAAATTCGGCATAACCAATTGCAACGTTTGAGGGAAAATTGTGTTAAAGAAGTTGTGGAGTTAAATCATTTAATTTCTGCCTTTAAGGAAAATTATACACCAAGACATTTGTCTTCGTCTCAAATTGCACAGGGGTAAGCGTTTTTTTCTTTTGCTTCCTTTCTATACATATATATATATACATATATACACATACATATATATGGGGCATTCTTTCTCAATTTTTCATCGACGCTGCCCACTTTCCATTCAGTCCAAAATCTTTCGGAAACCCCTTAAAATTTTTGTAAAAATGTAAGCTTTTGAATGGTGAGTGGCAAAATTATCCAATTTAATTGAACCATCATTTAATTGTCAAAAAACTTAAAAAAAGTAAAGAAATTGATAAATATTTAAGTCTAAAGTTTGATTATTGGACTCTGTTCTGTTTTTATTAACCCACTATAGTACTTTAGTTCACTATAGACCACCAAAAAAGTGTTAAACAATTTAGCAAATCCATTATAACCGTTAAAAAAATTTTAAACGGTTAAAATTACTGGATTTTCATAAAAATTGATAACAGAGTATTTTTTGTCCCAAAATGCTAATCCAAATTCTTAGTTAAAAGATTTTTAACGTCGATCACATACACTTATCGAAAATTGTTTAAAAATTTTACATAATTGGACCGACTATGGGGAACAAAGATCGGCATAACCTTTGCTGACAGAATTGGGCCAACTTTGGCAGCCATTGTTAGACCGACTATGGCGATAATGGTCGACATGACTATGGCAACCATAGTTGGGATACCTTTTATGAAAATAGTGATTGGTAAAACTGGCAGCTGAAATATAAAAAACCTACTTCTTAAATGGTCGGATGAATATTTTTAAGATGCAGCTTATGAGACTATTTTTGTCGTTTGACTCACATGTAATTGCGTATACTAGTGGTTAGCGCATTAGTTTTCGGTGCGTAAACAATAGTGGGCATGAACATGGTTGACCCGACCATGGGCCGACCGCCAATTCGCACCTGGAAGGAAGTTTTTACTGTCGCCACTATGCTAATAATAAAATGTGTAATATTTCCTCAAGCTTGTCGCAGAATATTCCGAAACTTGTACTGCAATTTTTACCCAATATTGATGTAATATAGTTTGTTGCTTTATGTGACTGTTATTCATTGAACTCTCTTTTCTTTTTATATCAACATTTATTTTCCTTGATCTGTGAGTATATGCAATTGATTTAAAAATCGTTAATTGAAAATGTTAAACATTATTATAAAAAAATAATTTTATCTGATAAAAGTTAATTGAGAAATGTTTTTGCAATAATAATAATAATGAGCATTCGAAGTAAATAAACTTCTTATTTTAAGCCAAGATAGTAGATGAAAAAAGATGGTATTGGTTGGTGGCCTGAAAGGCTAACTTTATTTTAAAACATCAAGAAATTCATGACGCGTTTCGATGTTGGATTCAACATCCTCATCAGAACATAGTTTCAAGTGGCCATTCAGGCCACCAACCAATACCATCTTATTTCAATAATAATAATAATTAGTTAGGAAAA